GTGCACCACCACGCCCGGCTAATTTTTGTATTTTTAGTAGAGACAGGGTTTCACCATGTTGGCCAGCATGGTCTCAATTTCTTGACCTTGTGATTCGCCGGCCTCGGCCTCCCAAAGTGCTGAGATTACAGGCATGAGCCACCGCGCCCAGCCTCTTTTGCCTTTTTGAGATGGAGTCTAGCTCTGTTCTCCTGGCTGGAGTGCTGTGGCCCAATCTCGGCTTACTGCAATGTCCACCTCCCAGGTTCAAGCGATTTTCCTGTCTCGGCCTCCTAAGTAGCTGGGACTACAGGCGTACACCACCACACCTGGCTAATTTTTGTATTTTTAGCAGAGACGGGTTTCACCATATTGGCCAAGCTTGTCTCGGACTCCTGACCTCAGGGGATCTGCCTGCCTCAGCCTCCCAAAGTGCTGGGATTACAGGCATGAGCCACCGTGCCCAGCCCCTCAAGCCATTTTTCTACTGTAATATACACGCCTTAGGTATAAGACATGCTGTCATTAGTGACTCCCAACTGGAAAGCATAGCATCTGGAAACACCTCTCTGGTCATTAAGATGACTTCCCTCTGTTGACCCCTTTGAGCATCTTCGACCCAAACAGCATTTCCCAAACTGTAGTGAGAAGCTTGCAGGTCTTTTGAGCAAAGAAGGTTTTGTGATCAAGTACATCTAGCAGATGCTGGGCTAGCCAAAATTAAACAAGTTTATTGTAGATCTTCTCAGAACCTAAAATATGATAATGTACAATCTGTCTCACTAGGACAGGTCCATAATGTGCTTTACTTTCCAAATTTGTCGAGCTTGAAGATTTGTAAGGTTTTTAGTGAGAAGAAGGTGAGACTTGGGATGCTGTTATTTATTTACTTATTTTTTAAATGCAGAGGTAGGCCTATAATCAAGTTTTGACTTCAAAGTTTTCTGCTCAAAAGGGTAGATACACAGACTAGTTTTAGAAAAATATGTACACACATTTTTTTTTTCTTTTTTTTAATCTTTTTGTTTTTTGTTTTACATACATTTTTAGAAACGGAATCTTGCTGTGTTGTCCAGGTTGGAATGCAGTGTCTATTCACAGGCACAGTCATGGCTCACTGCATCCTAGAATTCCTAGGCTCGAGTAATCTTCCTGCCTCAGCCTCCTGAGTAGCTGGGACTACAGGCACTTGCCCAACTGAAAATATTTTATTTTTAAAAAATAATGGCTTTTAATTTTAGGGTAATGTATCTTTTCCCAAAATTTGGCGAGTAGTCAGGAACTGCAAATAGCTACCATCATTGTGTGTTCAGTTGTTGTTTTGTATATTCATATGTATTTTTTACATGGTTGCCATCACGATGAAGATATGGTCTTGTATCACATTTATCTTTTGTCAAGCATTTTTCTCTGTTGTACTTCATTTTCAATACAAAAAAATTTTTTTTTTTTTTTGAGACGGAGTCTCAACTCTGTTGCCCAGACTGGAGTGCAATGGCACACAGTCTTGGCTCACTGCAACCTCTGCCTCCCAGGTTCAAGCAATTCTCCTGTCTCAGCCTCCTGAACAGCTGGGATTGTAGGTACATGCCACCACACCCAGCTAATTTGTATTTTTAGTAGAGACAAGGTTTTCACCATGTTGGCCAGGCTGCTTTTGAACTCCTAACCCGTGACTCACCCGCCTTGGCTTCCCAAAGTGCTGGGATTACAGGCATGAGCGACCACACCTGGCCTCTAGCACCAAAATTTTTAAATATAAATGTATACCTCTCATTGGGCATTTTAGGTTACTTTTCAATATCTCTTCACTGGAAATTTTGTGATGAATATTTTTCTACCTAAATAATTTTTTCTTTATTCGACATTTAGGATAAATTCTTATCAACAATACATATATACATTGCTTAAATACAATATGGTCATGATTTATATTGCCAAATTGCTTTCCTAATGGGGTATCCCAACTTATACTGTGTACCAGTACTTTATGAACATACTAGTTTTACAATAGCCTTTCTAGCATTTAGACACTATCATTTATTTTTTAAAAACCAACTTGATAAGCATAAAATGTTCCTTGCCCTTTTTTTGGTATTCCTTTGATGATTAGCAAATTTTTTTTAAAATGTGGAACATGTTAGAATTAGCTGTCATAGTGAATTATTTTTACGTCAGTCTTGTCTCAAGACTTGCATCAGCAAGGTGCAGAGAGAGAGAACAAAAGTATATATATTTAGTGTGACTCATCAATCCAGTTGTAGGCTTTAGGAGAATCACTTGCTTCTTGAACTGATACTGCCTTTGAGACTTTTTAAGTATCTAACTCCTAACTCATCAAGTTAAGTTCAGTGAAAATTGAATTACTTCTTAGAAAATCAACCAGTTTTATGATTGCATTCTTGGTAAGAGAAGATAAAAGGTTAGTATATAACCATTAGATTGTTAAGCTATTAGACTAATACATTTTGATGATGATGTTAATAGTAGTTTAATATATCAGGTTATCTCTTATTATTTACTAATCTTTTTAAATTTCATAGTGACTTGTTTTTTTCTTCATATCCTTGTCCTTCTCAAAACTGCGGTGTTTTAGGCATGTGTTTCTCAAGGTTATCAGCTATTCTTCCCAAGGAGAAGCTTTCGTAGATTAGCTCCTCTGGTTCCAGTGCCTCTCAGGATATGACCCTGTGGAGTTACTCAGTTTCAGAGCAGGCTGGTGTGTGATACTTTTCCTTAGCCATTCCTGAACAGGGACCTTGACAGTGGGACTTAGAACAGTCTTATGTACTCCATTTTGAGTTGCTAATAATGGGCGAGGAATTTTTAAATTCTGTTTGTGAGGTTCCTGGGCTTTTCTAGTAGAAGGGAAAAAATGCATTTTTCCAAAATCAATTTCTAGAGAAGTTTGAAAAACAATTGTGCAGTGGACAGAATTATTGTAATCACCAGAGGGTTTTCCAAACCTCTGGTATTTTGCAGGATTATACTTATCTGGTTCTTAAGCTCTCAGTTGCTCTGTCTCAATCATAGCTTACTTTCATTTAATAATTATTTATTAAACACCTGCATCCTAAGGCAGTTTGCTAGGTGCTAGAAACATGTTAATGAACAGAACATTTCTTTATTTATAAAACTATTTTAACATTACATAGATTATATAAAATTAATATCTGTGGGCAAAAATAGGCATTTATAAATGTCTGTTTGAACAGAACACTAGACATTCCTAGTAGTAGACTAGTGGGATCTTTATGTTGTTCAAGTTTGTTAAAGTTTGTAAAGCACTAGCCTCTTAATGTGCCAGTCTCACTCATCTGCACATAATAAACCTACTCTCATGTAGTCCTAGGTTGCAGTTGACTTGAGTACTTTCCAGAATTGACTTGACAATAAATATTTTCTTCTCCCTCCCCCTCTCCCTCTCCCTACCCCTATCCCTCTCCCT